GAAATTCATTTCACAGAAAAGCAAACCAGCAAAATCACAGGCAACCTGACCAAAATCCTCAGCACAGGACAAAAATGGGATCTGAACTTTAAAACGTGACTCTGAAACCACAGCGTTCTGCCCCATCAGAAATCTATCTGTCATAGAAATTGATAACTCATTTCTCTTTACTTCTGAGACGCTTTATAAACCATGAGTACAGTGCATTTCTTAGCAACTTTTGAACACTAGTTTTTCCAAAGTACCTTACAATATTGTTAGATATCGATTTTGGATATCTAACAAGTTAAAAAAAAACATAAATCAGTTTTAAACAAATATAAGCATAAACAAATTAAGAAATTGAAACAATAAATGAAGCTTATATAAAAAATGCCATTCCTACAGCCAGAGGAACCTTTTTTAAAACTTCCCAGCAACCCTGTGAAGTAGGTTGGCCCTAGACAGTCCTGCTCAAGTTTAGACTAGAATGGAGTCCAGGCTAAAATCTCAACAGAGTGCACTAAGCCATAAAGGTTGCTTTCCATGATTTTTTCAAAAACATTTGCTGTATCTTATGCTAGGTGTGCTATATGTCTAAGTGAAGCTAACCAGAGAATGTTCCCATACAGGTAGTTCTTGACTTATGACCATTTGTTTAGCGACTGTTCAAAGTTTTGATGGTGCTGAAAAGTGACTACCAGTCCTGCACTTACAACCGTTGCAGCGTTCCTACGGTCACAGTTCGGGTGCTTGGCAACCGGCATGTATTTACAATGGTTGCAGCGTCCTGGGGTCATGTGATCGCCATTTGCGACCTTTCCAGCTGGCTTCCGACAAGCAAAGTCAATGGGGAACTGTGTAATTCACTTAATGACCATGTGATTTGCTTAACAACCATGGCAAAAAATGTCATAAAATCAGGTATGGTCACATGATGCCTTGCTTAACGACCATACCACTTAATGATGAATTTTCCAGTCTATATTGTGGTCAAAAGTTGAGGACTACCTGTAGTTTGTTATAGGTTTGGTTATGAAAAAACTGTCTGGTTAATTGTAACTAGAGGTACTCTGCAAAATTGATTACATTTCTATCCCAAGCATCCCTTGAAGGAAAGTGGGATAGAAATGTAATAATTAACCTAAGGTTCTTCTATGTGCTAATTCTACTGTGCTAATGTGTGAGAAGTAAATTAAACTTTTAAATTGAAATAGTAATAATAACTATTAGTATTGATATAATGTTCTTCTTCCTGAATGAGCTCAGGGATACATAATTAAAATTATAAGATAATAATAAATAGCCAATTTGATGTAGTGGTTATGGCACCAGACTAGAAACCGGGAGACCGTGAATTCTAGTTCTACCTTAGGTACGAAGCCAGCTGGGTGACTCTCTCTCAGCCCTAGGAAGAAAGCAATGGCAAACCACTTCTGAAAAACCTTGCCAAGAAAACTGTAGGGACTAGTCCAGGCAGTTGCCAGGAGTTGACACTGACTTGCAGGCACACAATAAATAAAATTCCTATGTTAGGATTTTAATTCCCATTATTCTCCAAATTACTTATTATTATGTCCATATGTTGTGTGTCTCCAGGCATACATCTGAGTTTTACTCTTATTTGATTGTTGCCACATCCCTGTGATGTGGCTTGGCTGAGAATGCAAGAGCTTTATAGTTCAGTAGGAATGTGAACCTGTCTCTCTCTGATCCTAAACACAGTGTCTTTCTTGTTATTTTTAAAGAAGCAAGATAGAAATGGAAACCCTTCCAAGAACAGCACTGGATAATAGGGACAAGTACTTCAATAGTGTAATCTTTTTATTTCACCACTGATAGCCTAAATAGCAAGTAAGAAATAAAGCAGTCTATGGGCCACCTTACTTAACCGTTTTACAGGTCTCTGGAGGAAGGAATGCTGATATTTCAGCCTTGTCTCATCTCTGTTTTTCATTAGCAAGCAGATGAAATCTGATACTTAATCACACTATTGAAAGGGCAACTTCTTTAAAAATGTAAAGGAAATACATCCATTAAGCTAAACTTGGAAGAAGGTTGCTGTATGCATTGTTCCTTCCTGACATCGTTTCAAAGGCAGTATTGCCTCTCAATTTGTTTGACAAAATTTTAGTTCAGTTTAAGATCAGTGGCCAAATTTCCAATCTCATAAGTGCCTCCTAATGAGTAGATGCTTTTAGATAGGGACAAGCAACCTTTTTGCAGCCTAGAGATGGGGGAGGGAAGGGTTCTAAGTTTTAGCCTTCAAGAGTGGAGGAAGTGGGGCTATGACATAGGCCAAGGGTCTTCAAACCTTTTCAGACAGCATGACTTATTTTTTTTAAAAAAATCCTGGAAGCCCTGATCAAGAGGCAAAGCTCTAGAGTCAGAAAACTGAACTCTTTGAGTGACCTCTTTTTTATTTTGCTGTTCGTGTTTCATGGAACACCATCAACATTTTGCAGAACCCTAGAGTTTCATGGAACACAGTTTGAAAAACCATGACATAAACAATGGGAATAGAAAAAAACATTTTTATCTTTTTTAAAAATGTCTTTAAGACACGAAAGGATATATAGAAGGCAATTTAATTCTTATATGGCATGATGCATAAACCACCCAATCTCAATAGTTCAAGGTTGCCTACAAAAATATAACCACAAACTGTAATAAACTCAAATTAAAACTACAAAAATCATTAACAGCAGCAAAACAAAACTCTAAAAAAATCTCAGGAACATGATACATTTAGGTACCCTGCCTAACCAGTGACAAAAAATTGGTCAGAGGCAAATTGTTCCACAATCAGCTAGGGTGTGCAAAGGGCAGAGTAAAAAATGTAAGATGGCGCCTGCAATTCTGTGATGAAGCACCATCCTTTCTATGTGTGGAAAAAAGGGTTGGGATTTCAATCATGTGGTGATTAATGCCCCTCCCCGCGTATGGCCCTTGATAACGTTAAATGTTATTTATGGTGGGACCTTTGTGGAATAATTTTTGAGAAATAAAACTAAAAATTGCACCACAGGTAATCAGCAATTTGCTGCTGAATTTTAGTGGTATGACTGTGGGAAATCTAGGCATATCTATGATCTGAAGGCTGACAAAATTTATGTTTAAAATGGATGTTTCATTGACCTTTCATTCAAATCTTTCTGAAATCTATTACTATAATTCAAATTAACTTGATTTTCAAACATACTGATTCACTAGAAGAGAAATAAGGATGCATTTTATTTTGCCCTGAAATAAATGGAATTAAAAGTGTTCGAATAAAAAAGTTTAAAAAAATAACAGCAGCAATATTTTACAAAAAGTTTCATGAGATGGCAGAAGGCCAATATTCCCCAAAGAGTCAGGCATTTGAAGAAAAGAAGACAGCAATAGTTGCTGGAGAAGATTCTAGCTAGGAATCCTGGCAGTGGTAGTCTCAACATTTCTGTCAGACTCTGGTTAGGGAAGGATACCCAAGATGTTTTGTAAATACTTTGAGGCGAAGTGGCAAATTATGAACATGCATCATTTGAAAAGAAAAACATTTGTAGGATGATCAACGAAAGTGAAAAGATGGTGAAATCTGTCCTAACTTGGAGGTTTAATAAGAGCTTCTCTGACTGAAATGAACATATGTAGGACTTCACGAAAATAAATGATTCATGCCCTCCCTTATTTGCAGAGCCATGGGCAAATGAAGTGTTTGTAGCCTGAATGGCAGGAAATAGCTACAGTTTAATGTGGATTGCTTCCAAAATCCAAGACTGTCATTTGTAATGGATGTACCCTTTGTACTTTATCTACCCATATAGATCAAACTGTACATTCAAAATATTGTTACCCTTTTAACTCACTTAGAATTATTCAGTAACTCAAAGACATATTTATAAGAATGTCAAGAATATCATCTAAATCATAAAATGAATCCAGCTTTAAAAACAATGTCGATGCTACCTTAAAGCACTTTGTCTACAATTCCTTCATTAGTGCCACTGGTTCTATTTCTGAACAAATGGGTAGACATGTATAGTTTTAAAGAGCCATTCATATATACTGAAAACCTACAGCATATATGTTCCATAAGATGGAATTATGCCATCTCAACCATCCCACAAGTATACCTGCCACTCAAAGTACTCCTGTTCATTTTGTGGGCACATATTGAATCTAATACTGATATATTAAACATAAAGATCTCTTGCTCTATCAAAAACCTTTATGCTTTCTTCACTGCTATGCCATATACTAGAACTACCTCTGAGAACAGATCTGTGGCATCATCTGCTAAACTCTTTCTTCAATTGCTCCTTAAGACCCATCTTTTCAGTGAAGTTTTCTTATTTCCTATTGCAACGCAGCCTATAATTAAGCCTAAGAATAGCTTAAATAATCATGATCAGCCTTTTCTCCTATGGTCTCTCCTTCTTTTTTAAGTTCCTTGGGGAAAGGACCTAACATCCCAGATTTAAACTTTGATTGCATCTGGATGTCACACTTAGCTATAGTTTGGCTTAAAAGCAAATCCACATGCTAATATATACTGCTCAGAATATGCCTGATGGTTCTTCCCGCAAGTAAGTGTGGTTAAAGCACTGTTTATGCCTTTATTTTTCTTTTAGCAGTCTTGCAAACCAAGGATTCTGGCTTTTGGAACAAACCAGAGAAGGAAGCCATAGTGAGACTGTCTGACTGTATATAGATACTGTTGAAGTTTAAACCCAAAATTGTAGAGGAACAAATTGCAGTCAAGGGCAAGGTGTATGTGTTCATTACATATATGTCTTCTTCCCCTCAATTAGGCATTTCACTCATCTGAGATAAAAGCAAATGGGGCATTTTCTTTTATAGATTCTGAAAGCTTGCCATCTAAAATCCAAAAGCCTTATAATGTTAGATACCAAATAATTTAGGAGTGGGAAACATATAAGATAGCAAGGCGATTTAAACACACAGTTAAGAAACAAGACAAAATATATCATTTTTTTCTTCTCAAAAACAGCATGTTTAATTACAAATCTGTTCCTTACCTTGGCAAAATTCAAAGTTCCCCTTTTTCCGGCAGTCACCTATTACTAAACTCAGTGCTCTCCAAGTGTTTCTTTTGACAGATATCATTCTCCACCAATCTTCCTGCTAATTTCCTCTCTCCTTTTCTGACTGGGACAGCTATTACGTTCACCAGCCCAGTGATCAATCTTTTCTATTGACAACAACAAAAGGAAAAAAAAACAAAAATGCACATATCACAGCCAGTCTGAAGCACAAAGGCCTTCTGTTTACATGATAATACTAGATTCTTTAAAAAAAAATGAAAAAGCATAATCCTAAAGGCAATATTTTGCATTGTATTACAACCCGAATCCAATACATTAGTCATTGTTCAATTCTCTAGGAAAAATGCAAAAAAATCTGAATGAGGAATAATAAAGTCAATTATATATAGCTTTGTAACTATGAGCTCTTCCAGGTTAGTAATTTATAGCCTCATCCAGCCACTGCTGTAACAATATATTACTAATGAGACATGTTTTATATCGCCACAGTGATGGCTGGATTACGCTTCAAATTACTAGTCTGGATGACCTCCAAGACTTAAGTGAAATCAACTGTTTATAGAAACTAAGGAAACTGCTTTATCCTGGGTCAGGCTATAAGGCTCAATTATCTACTCAGCCTTCCAAAAGTTCAGGTAGATGAAATGTTCTCATCAGCAGTTACCTGATCGTTTTTAATAACAGATAGCAGGGAATAAATTTGAAGCTTTTGGAATGCATGCCATGGGCTCTGTTGTTGACAACATCTCCTGCAAAACTATATATGGGATTAGGATTTCAAAATCAAATCTACAGTTCTCCAACCACTACAAAATAGTACATTCGTTCCTTCAGCTGACATATTTCCATTGGCTTCAATAAATCATGTTGGGTACCATTGTAAAGATATTCTTCAGCCCAGCAACCTGCCATTCTAGCATCTCATTGATTAAAAAAAAATGCATACCATAGTCCAGTAATTCCAATTAGTGCAGAATCAAGCGAGGAGGCTGCCCACTGGATAACTGCCTGTTCTTACCTGGCCTCTTTGCAATCAGGATCTGCTAGATCTCAATATGACACTTGAGATTATTGATGAATCTCAGGTGCCCATGCAGTGACACAGCAGAATTATGTGTCTTCAGAAGAGGATTTCTACTGCATCTCTGCATGAAGCTTCCTTCTTTCCCTCCAAACAGTAAGCAGATATAAAGGGATTGGGTATTTCTTAATATGAGTAATTCTCACTCCACTTGTGTGGAGGCTTTTAGCAAGCTGTCTTCTAGATTATGCTCTTACCTTATTTGCACCTTTCAGGCTTGCCTGGAAGGGACAATGGAAGATAGCAACAACAGTGCTCTAAGTCATTGTCAATCTGCTGGAAGGCACCACTTGATTTCCCCATTGTTGGAAATGAAATGGCACTTTATAACAAGGAAACCTAGGGCAAGTATCAATGGTGGCCCTAACAGCTGCCTGTCTACATTTAGACCTGGGCAATGCCATATTTTAAAAGTAAGCAGTTGAGGTCTAAAAATGAAGTTCTGTCTCCGTTTTCAGAAAGTAATGTGTATCTGAATTATTGGTTTGGTGAATACAGGCTAAAGGCAAGCAGTACAAGATTACTTGGGTTTATTTGATAGAAGCATTAAATGAGTTCATGCATGTACGTACACTAGATCTACTCCCAAGCTTCTTTTTTTTTTTTGCTTTTTTTTGTTCTCAGTTTATTTTGTTTAACTTTGTTTTAGGCATTTTTTTAGTTTGTTCAATAACGAAACAAAAAAGTGGGTTACTAAGTTTTTAAAAACTGCCTCTCTTGCTTATAATCTTTAAATATAGCTCTTCCCTTTCTGATATCACACTTGCTAGTACTATTCAAAGGATGCCTATCTTGTCTTAAAGTGAAATCTAGAGTGGGCTATAAACATACGCTTTTTATCCACAGGGTCTCAGATACTATCCCTCCCATCTCCAGCTAGGAAAAATGCTTACTAGGAACTTCAGTGAATCATTGCCAGTTATTGAGGACAATGCAAAGCTAGAGAGATCAATTTCGGCAGCTTCCTAGGATCCTACATATTCCTTCAAATCTACAAGCCTTTACACTTTGCTTTCGAAAACTCTGTAATGAGGCTTACATGTTCAGAAGTAAATGGAATTACCTACAGAATGTCTTAATGAGTAAAGCGCACTAACAAAAGAGGGAGAGGAAACTCTTCAAGGGCAACTAAGCAAAAAAGGAAAACCATATTAAACTAAGCAGATACAACAGGTTTGTTCAAAGTGCTTCAAGTGAATTATCTCAGGGACAATTACAATCATCTTAGACTGGGAATAGGGCTGCCAAGAACGCTCCATGGATTGCCAATGAAGTCAACAGGATTCAACCAGACCGTGAAGGAGACCTCTTTTTTATATATATAGAATGGAAATCTAAAGCCTGCACCTATTCTCTGTTTTATCTGCTTACTTCTGTATTTTCCTGTAATGTGATTTATTAATTAAATATCGCCTTATTCTGTAAAACACCAAGCTAACATGATGTTATGGAAAGTGTGTGTGTGTGTGTGTGATAAATGTATGTAATGCATCATAAAGCCAGTTTGGTGCAGCGGTTAAGGCAATAGGCTAGAAACTAGGAGAGTGGGCATTCTAGGCACAAAGCCAACCGGGTGACCCTGGGCCAGTCTCTCAGCCCTAGGAAGAGGGCAATAGCAAATCACTTCTGAAAATATTGCCAAGAAAGCTACATGGACTTGTCCAGGTAGTCTCCAGGAGTCAAGACTGATTCAAAGGCGCGCGCACACACACACAAACAAAGTATAAGCAAGGAACTCCTAAATGTGATAACTTCCAGTTGTATTTCATCAGATTTCAATGTAGTGCTGCTGTCTGATAAATTAGAAGTGACAATTAGTAAAAACTAAAAAGAGCACAATTATAATCATATATTGCCATTGTTGTTAGCAGTAGTACCTATAAACGTTAGATGATTTCTTCTTCCCTCAGAGAGATTTGAAGGAATTATCCACCACTTCCTCTCTACTTTATTTATTTATTTAATTATATCTCACCTTTCATTCAGGAGCACAAATATTATGGAGAATTTGATAAGGCAATTGGTGCTGGCTCTATAGAAAACGGAGGAAGAGAAAAAAGTAATACCAGAAAAGGAAGGAAGGAAGGAAGGAAGGAAGGAAGGAAGGAAGGAAGGAAGGAAGGAAGGAAGGAAGGAAGTTAGTTCAACAGCAGTGATTTCCTTGTCCCTCCACCCTCCACTTTCAAGGGATTGGACAAAATAGGTGTCCTGTTGAAAAAGGGGTGGGAAAAAAAGGAGAATTCCAATTCTCCATCAGATTCTATTATCACAAGTTTTCCTTAGTGAGGGATAAAGATTGTACCTTAGATAAAGGTGGAAAAGCTGGAATCAGGAAGCAAGCCCCCAGCCTTGCATGCATGTGTTTGTGTGTATTTATTTGTGTGTATTTATAAATCTTGGCAAGTGAATGGAAAAATCAATCCATTCAGTTTCATAGAAATCACTTGGTGCACATTATACTCTGGCTTAGTAGTCACAGTTGTGCTCATGGATACCATATTTGAGATGTCAGAGCTACATTACAAATCAATGCTAACTTTGCAGGCAAATCACTAACAGTTTTAATGGAAGTTAAATATTTATAAAAAATCAAGCCACAAATGAGATTTTTTTTCACGTTTTTAGTAAAAAAAATAATAGCCTTTTATACTGTTTTATAATATCTTCAAAATCCTCTTATTAAACTTGGAAGCAGCACTGTTTTGGCCAATTAATATTTATCAATTGCAAAACTTCCTTCTGAAACCATGCAAGCCTATAAAAATAATGTTCATACTTTGAGACATCTTATTAGACTGTTTCATGATTTATTTTGTAGAATTAAAAGGTAAATTAATTTAAGAAGTTTTTATATAATACTTTTGATAACAATTATCATTTGACATATAGGTTCCGCAGATCTTTCAATAGAAGAAAAAGGGAATTGGTAGATGACATAAAAATTATGCAAAATCACTATTAGAATAGTGTTCTGAGGTCCAAAGCAGAATATAAAGACTATATTTTTAATTATATGATGATTTCATGCAAATTACAGAAGAAATAAATCTTACAGATATTTACAGATATTTGAAAATAGACACTTTTAAAGGAATAGAATTTCTCTATGATTTTGCACGCGTACTAAGCAAAACATTATTTAACATTTTATATATCTCTATTTATTCAAAATATATCCCATTTTTTCCATTTCCTGAATACCTAAGGATTTAAAAAATACAAAGTAAAACAATTAATTAAATACGGGACATGCCAAACTACAAGTACTAAAATTGTTTATATTTAAATGATGCACAGCAGCTATTTGCAAAGAATGGCATATGACTAAACTCATGTTTGATTCTCTCTATATACCTACACGCACATTCTTATTGCACAACCACAGTGCGGGTCCACTATTTTATTATTTATTGGATTTGCCTCCTGTCTTTTTATCCAGAAAACTATATATAT